AGAATATCCAATGACTTACAGAAAGGAACACACATTTTCTGGGATGTAGGCTGCACTTGCGCTAGGGCAGACTTCAGAAAATTGTCAGAATATTAGCTTTAACTAATAGTCAAATAGTATTTGAATTAGAAACAATAATTACTGTTCTCTGCTTTGCATGCAGTCATGATCTTAATATGCAAAAAATGCTATTTGATGGCAACTGAGGGAAGGGCTCTTATGACTGCAGAGAAGTCCAGGACATCAATTGTGTTCTCTGGTTTCCAGCAGGAGAGGTTCAAAAGAAAACCTCTAGGTACATCTAGAAATGTCCATACTTTAACTGCATATTTTTGAAACAGAGCCTAGAATCTGGTATGGTTTAGTCTAAACATGGAAAGCTATCTTCAAACTTGGGCTTTTACTATACCAAGACAAAGCCAAGACAAAGTCATATGTCTACAAACCCAATTATCTCCCAAGTTTACTAAAAGATACAAATGCTTTTTTCTGTCACTGAAGAAAGGTATCTCTGATTGTGGCTAAAACAAAACAGAAATGCTCCTCCGTTGAAGGAAATCCTTTGGGTCAGACGGATTTTGAAACAGCTCAGGAAGAGCTCTCAAATACAAGGAAGGAAGAAAAGAGTATGTTCGCTTTTGATAATGCTCAGATTAATAAACACAATGGAGCTGTGTGAGAGACATGGCTTAATTTATAGATGACGCCTTGCCATTAAGTATTCTTGCCCTCATCAGTGGCAATAGTGAGAAAAATTGTACTGCAAATGGAAAACATCTGGATTCCTTGTAAAAACTTCATATGCTAATCAAGCCAAGTTAACAAACAACTTTCCAAGGAACATCTGGCCCACCTGCTCTCTGGAATAATATTCCCCAGACAGTTGTTTGGGTCCCACCCTGGTGATCAGATGTCATTGCAAAATTGGTTACTCTCACAGGCCCTGCGGATTTTGTCTGTGTGGTCACCTTCTGGATGCGTATGTTCTTGTGTTAATTTGTTACTTATTCTTAAAAGTGAAACTGGTCCAGAATCATGTGGAGTCAGGTAGTCTCTAAATTGTTTGTACCGATGATGAACCGGTAACTCTGAAGATCATCGCTCCGACGATCAGCTGCTGGGCCCTCCTGCTCGACCCAGCTCCATAGTGACCTTTACTTCCTGCTTTTGAAGCTCAGCTGCATCGCGTGGCACAGCGGATTGCTGCACGTCAGCTGAAGACACAGGGTGAGTGCAGAACAAAAACTTCTGCACAGTCTCAATGGATATATGAGGGGACTTCAGAGGCCAATGACCTTGTTGCCACTGAGCATCCTTCTCTCCACATTGGTGGAGAACTTGTACCTTTATTATTTTTAAAAATCAACATTTGAGTTGTTTGGAGTTGAGTGGCATCAAGTCAAATCCAACAATAAATAACCCTGTCAACCAATTTTTTTTTTTCCCAATCATAAAGAGATTTTAATTTTGGTATCACATTCCTTTACTCTTGATAACAATTTGCTTATTCTGGAACAGGCTTAATAATCAATCCATTTTTTATTAGGTTACAGACCAGCAACAGGCTTAACATATATTCTATTGCTCTAGTCTGTTTACTTACCTATCAAATTCATTTTAAGAGGTTTCAGCATAGAATTGCCTTGGTGACAAAATAAAATCACACTCATATAAAAGCAATTTAGCAACTCAAGTGTTGGAATCTTGACTTATTTATTGAACTCCAACTAAGCACATATGAATGACTGTTTGAGGTTGCACTCCTTTTAAATATTGTCTTCATACAAAAAAATAGCAGATTTGAATGAGCTTATTTTGAAATTTGTGTGTGCATGATGGATTCATTACTGTTAAGAACATTGTGCATCATAAGACCATCACAAGCTGTGGTGGTGCAGTGGTTAGAATGCAATACTATTGCAGGCTACTGCTGCTGGCTGCAATTGGGCAATTCAATTCAATTCTCACCATTAGTATTAGTATAGTACAGTACAGTAATATAGTATAGTATACCTGTTTTTCCTTTTAAATATGTACTTCTGATTTTAAATATGTACTTCCCATTTTCAGCTAAAAACACCGTACCTTCCCTGTATTTTTCTGCTTCATGGGTTTCTCAATAATTAAGGACAGCAACTTCATTTAAAGATATTCAAATCTTGCCTTCAGAGTACAGCTGTGTAGTATTTGGATGTGGAAGGGAAACTGTTTCAAATCTACCATGGGGATGCTCGTTTTATCTGTCAGCAGCTCCTTGAAGAAGCTTCTCCTTTTGCTGGGGCTGCCCAGAAGTCATACAATCCTAGGAAAATGTGTGTTGAGGTTGAAGTGTTACAGAAGTGGCAATAGAGTAGCTTTCCAATTTTCTGTCCAAATACTGCATACTTCCACTTCAAAGGAAAAAGAAAATGGAGTTGAGGTACCGGAACATCTTGGTAGTAATAATCCCAAAGGTGCTTTTTAAAGAGACAACTGGACTTTCTGGTTTTTCTTTGAAGGTGTTTCGCTTCTCATCCAAGTTCTTCAGCTCTGACTGGATGGTGGGGAACGGAAGGATTTATATTCCTTGCAGACAGGTGGTCATTTGCATGAGACAACTTGGTTTATCTGTGTCCACAGGGTCACCAGAGTAGGGCAAATGGGTGTGAAGCCTTCTTGGAACTGCTGAAAAGACTGTGTTGTAGACTATAGATCAGTGATGGCTAACCTATGACACGCGTGTCACTTGTGACACGCCGAGGCACTTTGACTGACACGCCTGTTGGTGTGGGGAAAACCTGCACATTTAGAGGCTGCCTGTGCTCTGCTCCAATCCCTGCTCCCTGCTTGTTGCGTGGAGGCGTGGTGTCACCGCTGCCGCGAGATCTTTGCAGCAGAGAACCAGTTTTAACTGCCATAAACTGAGGTTTGTCAGTTTCATTACCTCAGGAACGCTACAGGAGGAAAGGAGATCCATGAGGTTCACAGCCCTGTAAGGTGGCCTTCCGATCCCCACATCCTGCACCTGCAGCCCTGAGATCAGGGAGAGGAGTTTCACAGCCCTGTGTGATCACCCCAGCCCAGTCCGTCATAAACCAAGTTATTGATATTTCTTGAAGTGACACACGACCCGAGGAAGGCTACACTTTTTCCCAATTTTCGACACACCAAGCTGAAAAGGTTAGCCATCACTGCTATAGATAGATGATGTCGTATCCAGGGGTGGGATTCAAATTTCTTAACACCGTTTCTGTGGGTGTGGCCTAATTTGTGGGTGTGGCTTGGTGGTCATGTGACTGGGTAGGCATGGCTTGTATGTAAATATTATATTTATGTAAATTGATTTTTTTTTTTTATAAAAAAAGAGCAACTTTTACCCCAAAACAGGCAAAGCAGGTAGGCAGGTTGAGTTGCTCACAGAATCACAGATTCACTTAGAGATCTATCTATCTGCAGTCGGCAATCTGAATCTACACTGAAAAGCTTCAGTCCTAAGGAAGGTTCGGCTCTGCTTTTAGAGTAGCTAGAAAGCAAGAAATCCAAGGATTTCCTGCTTTCTAGCTAATCTTAATCTCCCTGCAGAGCAGAACAACTGATGGTTGGGAGGTGGGGGGAAAAAGGAAAAATAGCAACTTACCAAATCAGGCAAGTTGGATGGCTCGCATGCCAGCTAAGGAGTGAGTGGGAGGGGAGGGGAGGGGCCAGCCAGTGGAGCAATTTGCCAGTTCTCCGAACTGCGGACAATTATAACATACGTGTCTGCAGCATTTGCAAGAAATCATCAGGTGTGCCACCTGGACAGCTGACAAGCACTGTGCACGGGTGCCCAGCATTTGAAAATCCTCATTTCCTGCTTTTTCAACCTCAGCTGTGCCGCACAAAGCAGCTGAGGAGGGAAAAGCAGGGAATAAAGGACAGTCTAGAGCCCGGGCAGGCGGGTGGGCCAAACACCAAACTGGTTCGGTGTCAGCTGCTCTTTGCAGCTACAAGTTCTATAGAACCAGGCCAAACTGGTAGCATCCCACCCCTGGTCATATCCCTCCCCCTCTGTTGAGAGAGGGCTGTTCAATTTTGACGTAGATGGCTTTTTTGACCCTCTTTCAAACCAGCGGTCCTCTGTCCAAAATGTGGCCTTTGCCTTTTAAATGCAGGACTGCTGAATCTTGTCCTGATGGGTTTATTCTATGTTGTGCCATGCATTTATGAAATGGTTGCTTTGTTTCCCCAATGCACAGCTCTGCATATGGCTCACTGCATTGTACTGCATATACCACATTGCTAGAGTTTGTGTCTGGGTGTTTTATCCTTGGCCCTCTCTCAACAGAAGGGGAGGGATACATCATCATCTATCTCCAATCTACAACACCGTCCTTTCAACAGTTCCAAGAAGGCTCCACACCCATTTGCACTATTCAGGTGACTCTGAAGACAGGTATACCTCCAGGTGGCCTCAACAACCCCTAAAAGAATGCAAATTGCCAGCTGTTTGCAAGGAGTATAAATCCTTCCATTCCACACCATCCAGTCAGAGCTGAAGATCCAGTTGCCCCTTGAAAAAGCACCTTTGGGACAACTATGACCTGGATGACAGAGACTCTCCATAGACTCTTGGTAGCAACACCTGCCTTATTAGGATTAGGATGAGTCTGCTGACCCTGCAGTGTTTTTGGAATCACATGAAGATTTTTTTTTGCAGAGGCTCCTCTGATCTTTTTTGGTTTCTTTGCTGGCTGCGGTGTCTTTATTTTAACATTATTTTATGTTGCTAAGTCAATATAAAGCACTCTGAAAATCTTAGCTTAAGACTGAAAGAGTACCTATTGAAAAAAATGAAATATATTGATGAAACCCAGCAGGTGCTGCAGCAAACCATGTCAGAGGAGCAGGGCGAAGGAAAGAGGAATGCAGGATACACAAAAACAACGGCAGCTGAGTTCTGCTGTGCAAGTAATGGCATTCAGTGTTTTGATGTGCACATACCTTGAGGGGGAAAATGTAACACAAACGAAAGGACATCTTCATTTAATTAAAATAGAGTTTATTATTAGCTTCTTTTTTAATACAAACATGACAAAGGAAAGCCACCTGAAGATGTAGCATTTATTTCAAAGTTGAATTATAATCAATACCTGATGCCACAGACTGGGGCTGGTAGATTAAAATACTGTAATGAGACTAACAATTTGAGTGCTGCTGAACACTCAAGAAGCAAGCTTGGTTCATAATTAAATAGACAAAAAGAGTCAAAACTGTAAGAAGCATTGCCCAGTGGGATGTTTTAAAGTACAAACCACTTAGATATTGTGACCCAGAACTGTGAAGACCTGTAAATATGTTTTCTGTTCTTAAAAAGAACAATTTTATTTCAAATTTCTGTTCTTAAAAGAGAAAATTTAGGAAAAGCCAATATAATTTTACTTCAGAACAAAGATAATTAAACGCTAGGTTCTAAGGAAAAATAATTCATTTTATGAATTGAGAACAACTGCATCTCCCTCATCAGGACCAGAGTTCGACCGTGGAATTTAAAGCTAGTTGGAAGCATATAATAGAAGCAGTAATACATTTACTGTTTGTACTGGAAGAATTTAGTCGATCACCATGTCAACTCATTTGTTAGGGATTTCAGGGCAATTCTATTCAGCACTTCAAGAAAAAAAAGTGTATTGTGAAGTCTGTCCCTTTCACAGCTTGACTAGGAATATATAAGATGCACCAAAACTGACAAGAAATAGACCCCGAACCATTTGTTTACTTACTAGCAAATGCAGAACACCATTCCTTTGCTCCTCTCCCTAACATTTCCTTTTGCCGTGACAATCTCAAATGAAGAGATTTTGTTTACCCTTAGCAGATACTACTCAGCAACTCCTTGTCCCAAATTGACCACCAATGTACCAATAATTAGGGAAGTTTGAAGTGTGCGTACTGAAAGAAGGGGAGAGAAATCTTTGCTTGCTAATGCCACGGCTTCAGTTCCAGAGTGACGTTTCGCCGTATTAGCATGAAGGCTGTTGCACTGACTTGGAAAGGCAACTGCAGTTGGGTCCTGGATTACTGAAGAGGAAAGAACATTGTGACTATTTTGTTAATGTTCAAAGTCTAAGTTTTAAAACTAGTCATTATTTAAAATGCAGAGAGCTCACAGCTATAGGCCTACATAGTAAGCAAACATCTCTGGATTGAGGAGATTAGTTTGGAGAAAAGGGAAAAAAGACCCATTAAAAGTTTCTGCACCTCTGGATTTTAAAGGAAGTGTTCCCCTTTGACAAGGCTCCATCTTTTCTTCCCCACTGAATTAAACTCCTCCTCCGGCTCTGAACTTCCTTGGCGTATTTTTGCTCACCCTGCCCTCCACGTGGAAGACACGATCACTGCTGACTGGTGAACTTCGAATAAAGGTGTTGTTCCACTTGTAAGGATGCTGGTGCCAGTGTTGTAGCTTTCCTTCTTGATCAAGAGAGGATGGCGTTAGAACGGTGAATGCCAACTAGATTATCAGCACTGAAGGACCGTCTCATAGCAGCTTTTGACAAGTCTTTGTATTTGTCCTCACACAGCCGGGAGATAGCCTACAAAGCATTTGTTTTAGTGTTATTGGAGCCAGCAAGATTCTGAATTGGCATTAATATAATTGCATCACCTATGTTTTCACCAGCAAATATAATAGCCTTTTAAATTAAACAAACAACCCTATGCTTATATTAACATTTCCCCCCTGCAAAGAATTATCAAATAACCAGGTTTTGGAAAATTTGAAGGGGAACAGGTGATTTGAGCCGTACCCTCCTACATGAAGAATGAGGGAAGACAGGAAGCACATCCCACTCTACATCAAGTTACTGCATATGTATTCCCAATAACTGGGAACTGTGTTTTACTTTTTCAGGAACACCTTCCTTGAAACAGAACGAATGACCAATGCTTTTTTTGGTAAAACACCAGTGTTATCCTAACAAAGACAAATACTCAAGAATATCAGTCATTAGAATTTCTAAGGTACTTCATACTGACTTAAGCATCAACATGGATACTTGAAGGAACTCTTATTCATGTCACACCAAAAATACATTTCACAAGAACAGACAGAAATACCCAACAGTTCTACCATTACCATTTGAACTGCAGCTGGTAATTTTCTACTACATTTCCGCTCTTATGGTCATGTGTTTTTCCCACAGGCTGAAATCGGTAACAATATATGATACCCTTTGGGATGGTAATGCAAAAGAACTTCCAGCAACTGCTCACAACTGGCCTAACTTGGGAGATGCCATTTCAGCATTCTCTGAAGCTGATAAAAGTTAGGCACACTTAACTGGGAGCAAGTTCTTATTACATATAATAAGACTAAGTTCTCAATAGATACATGAAGTCTTTATGATAAAAGTTATTAAAGTCTCCCTTAAAATGTATAGATTCATCGTGTAGTCATGTGCAATGAGATTTAAATTGGATATTTCACGTGGTCCTTTAAATTTTGATCCTAATCTGAAGAATTACAGCCTCGAAAGTGGCAAATGTAGAGAGCATCAGAGTTGCTAGCTAATATTTCTAAGTATGAACAACTCTAAATTTCTAATGCCTCATTTCTAGCCTTTTCTGCATTGTGGAAACAGGATGCACACCTGTTCTCAGAATGGATTATCTGTATATCAACTAAGATGTTAAAGTCCCAAAAGCTTAGTAAGTGACACTAGAGCAATCAACAGCCACAAAACCAGCAGCTATACAAGCTAACTGCCCCGCACAAGTCTCACGCTATTACCTCTAATTTCTGTGCTCGCTCTTTACTAAGGGGCTCTAGCAGAAAGCACAGATTGTTGTCATCTGCTAAGGAGCGAAGGTCAAAGTAGTATTTGGCATAAACACTGGCAGGAACGTTGATATTGAACTGCAGCAGCTCCAAAAAGTGTCTTTCCATCTCATTCCTGGAAGAAAACAGAAGAGGACGACAAACAGAATGCGGTTCAGCTAGAGGCAAAACAAGCACCCACCAAGCCCTTGGTAAAAATGCCAAAGCATTTTAAAGAAACAGAATTAATGTATTAATACAGTTAGAGGCAGGGCACTATTTGAATTCTGGTATTTTAAGCTAATGAAAAAGATTACATTCTGCCACATACTCTGACCTTTTCTTTATTAGAGTTCCACCAGGCACAATTCATACTGCATTCTTATTCTCACAAGACCCTGCACTATAGTTATCAGATGAAAAGAATGATGTGTGCTGCTGATTAGCTCTGAAGAACTTGCAGGCATTTTCGCCAGGTTCATAACAGGAAGAGAGTACGCTGAAGTGGGAGAGGGCCGACAAAAGGAGGAGGCATATCACCACGGCAACAAATGGATCTCTGAAGAGCTGCTGCTATTATTTGGGCGTAAAAAGCCTCTCGAAGCAACCTGGATTCATCTCCATCAATAAATAAATAAGCAAGCAAGCAGCTTTAGATAGGCAAAAGAGTTTTCTGTCCTGAAACTCCTAAGTGGTTACTTTATCAACCTTAGCTGGCAAGGGGAATTTTTTCAGTGATGTTAATTTTGGCAAAATCCATTCTATATATTCAGATCTGTAGGTCAGCACTTCTCGAGATGGACAGACTCAGAAAAAAACAGAAGCAACCTAAGACATCAATGACTACCCAAATTCATACAATATTTTAAAATGAACAAGTAGATAGTACAGGTAGTCTTGGACTTACAACGGCAATTTAGCCTGCTATTTTGTTGCTAAGCAACGCAGTCGCAAAACCCAACTGCACTGTTTAGCAGTGGCAATCCCTGCAGTTAGAAAGTTGCCTACATTTCCAGTTGCCATCATCATTAACCAAATCCCATGGTCAATAGGCCAGACAATTTATTACCAACTTCCCACTACCATAAAACAGAAGATTAAGTGGCTGCTGCTGAATGAAGGAGGGAGCAGGGCGGCATGAGGGAGGGGCCTATTACAATTTGCCGCAGCCAACTCACCACAGGGCAAGAGATACACTAATACCAAAGAAATGGTGGAATAGAATCATTAAAGAAAGGATGCAAAAGGAGGGACAAAAGAAAATGTGAATTACAAAAATCTAAAATGTTTTTTATTTATTTTAAATAAATTGAATTGTTTAATTGTCCCACGGTGAGTTGTCCTGTGGGGTGAACTGGCCATGGTTAGTTGCCCCATTCTGTGAGGCAGGTAGGAGAAGGTAGGCAAGGGGAAGTGTCAGAGGCGCAAAGCAGGGAGAGTGAGGGTGCCAGGGGGTGCACAAGATGCATGTTATGGGTAGGCTTGGGTGCATGAGGGTGCAAGAGAAAGCCATTATCTATCAGCTCAAACAGTGGAGCTAACTCTCAGACCCGCAGAGTTCACAACTTGAACCCCTGGATATGTCAAAATATCCCTTCCATCCTACAAGAGGATGGAAAAGTAATCTTTCATGTTTAAATATATTTTCTAAGGACTGAAAATAAAGCAGAATCAATCACCTAGATGCTACTCATAGTGAGAATAGGAGCTTTGTGTGGCTTGCTTTTAGAAGATAGGCTACAGTCCCATTAAATCTACTGCCAGAATTAATTTCCTGTTCATATGGTCATAAAGCTTATAGAAATGCAAATCAGATGATGTTTTGATGATCATCTCATCAGGACTTCATTTATCCCCTTTGTTCAAGACTTGCTAATACATTTTAATTGTGAAAAAATACAATAGTTGTGTCAGATAACAACTCTATTAATAGGTATAAAGCCCAGGGAAACAAGAAAGGCCCTTGTTTTATTCTTATGATGTGCAATTCAAGAATGGCAGGCTCCCTTTTTACACCCACTGTAATCTACAAAATTAGCAATTAACTAAATGTATTCCTCTCCATTCTTATTAAGATAGCCCATTAAAGAACAATATATGAGAGGTACATATATTTGCATCAATTTTCCTCATTTTATATTTTTTGCTGCAGAATCAGAAATGATGTACAAGGATAGTTCTGATGTATAATGTTGTTAGTCAAGTTTTAACTTTTTTACCCCCTATCTATCTCCCCAACCTTCAAATACTCATTTCTTATCCCATCCACCAATATCTCTTCTTCACTTGCATACTATGATGTCACATGTATGTATTGTCAAGCGTATGTGACAATGTGTATGTACGTCATGTGCACAAATATATTTTTCTGAGAAGTGATGAAAAAGTACACTACGCCCAGCCTCCAGTATATTACTGCAGGGGTCCCCAACCTCTGGACCACAGCACACTAATGGGTCATGACCAGTTTGCAACCAGGCCACGGAAACAGCAGGTAAATGTGTGCGCATCCCCATATGTATAAGCAGCAGGCAAGCACATGCACACACACTCCATTTATGCGGGTGGTATGCATGCATGCACACCGCTCACACAGAACTATTCCCTCCCTCCTCCCCCGCCCCGCTGGTCCACAAGCCTAAAAGGTTGGGGAACTCTGCATGATTGTATTACCCAGCATGTTTCCTCCCACTTGTCCCCAATCACACTGATGTATACAGCAATTTAACCTGAAGAGAATCATGCTAGAAGCTTCCATGCATGCCCTAAACGAAGTATCCCACTGGACAGGAGAGTTCAGGAGGACAGCAACTGGGGAAAATAGTCTTCTACTAGAAATCCCACCCTACAGTGCAGTCTAAATGCTAGATTTATTGAAGCAAACCTACAGAAATTCTATCCTATAAAGTTAATGAGTAAAAACAGAATTCTTCACATGCCTGCAGTGATGCTTAAAACAAAAAATCCCAAAATGTTTTGATTTCTGTGATCCCTCAAAAGTGTTTACAAATGGACCTTATGGGATTGGATCAAATTACTACTGCAAATTTACAATACAGTGCAGAAGAGCAATGTCTTACAATATGGACAAACACCACCAGCCATTATATGAATAATTATAGACGGATGAAAATCACTTGGAGACTGATTCAAAGTAAAGTACAGACTTGAAGTGCCAACAAAGATTAGTTTCACTGGTTGAGGAAAAATTTTTTGTAGTTTGCTCTGAATGGGGTAGTAGACTAAGGTGTAAGGTTGGATCATGTGATTAAACATAATTTGTATGAAAGTAGATCCATGATGTCAAAGAACATCTCCCTTAAGGCCATCATGATGATAGATACATAGATAAATAGATAGATGCATAGATAGATAGATAGATAGATAGATAGATAGATAGATGATAGATAGATAGATAGATAGATGCATAGATAGATAGATAGATAGAGAGAGAGAGAGAGAGAGAGAGAGAGATGCCAATTTACTACAAATTTCAGCTGCATAATTCTTAACTATTTTTCCAATTTTTGGAAGTTTTAAAACGAGGGCCACTTCAGTTTATGTTCTTAAATCCCTTTCCTCAAAAAGTTGAAAAACCCAAAGGAAAAGCTTCCTTCCTTCAAATAATACCATCACTGCTTCCTACAGCCTTTCTAAAAAGTCAGAAGCAGTGGTGGGATTCAATTTTTTTTACTACCGGTTCTGTGGGTGTGGCTTGGTGGGCGTGGCAGGGGAAGGATACTGCAAAATCTCCATTCCGTCCCCACCCCACTAACCTGCTTTCCAGCTCAGTTCTCCTGTGCAGGGCAACAAAAGAAGACCCAGACGATCAGCTGGGACTTGGGAGGCAGAGAATAGATGGGGCCAGTTAGAGGTGCTATTTCAAACTACTCAAAATTTCTGCTACCGGTTCTCCAGAACTGGTCAGAACCTTCTGAATACCACCTCTGGTCAGAAGGCAAAATTGTGGCAATGACCTCCCAAATGTTGGCTTTCCCTACAGTAGATTTTATTTTAGAGATTCTATCATTAAGCTATCCCTCTGCTCCTCCCTTGTTTAAAAAAAACCACTAGGTTATTTTGGTATAACGAATCCACTATTTCTTTTTATCAATCAATATTTTAAAATTATTTTATTATATTACCTTTAAATTTCATTTTTTTTCAATTAGTAAAGCATAAACATGAAAATACATATTATGAAAATAGTGATAAAGAGAGAAATGTAGTATTTGAGAAGCAGAGCAAATCATGATGATTGGAATTTTGGGGATGTTCAAGGAATAAACTTAATCAAGGGTGTCGAATATCTAGCTACAATTTTAGAATGCACTATCTGTACAGTATAGATAGGATAAAATATTTTATATGAAGAAAAAATATTAAAAAGATACAATCTGGACAAGACACGGACAAGCAATTTCAACTAAATTTGCTATCTTACATGTCTTCCACCGTAATATCCTTCAGGATTTGGCAGTAATCCACATTCCAAACAGCTTGATCATCCCACACTTTAGAAGCCAGCAGTATAGCACCTAGGACTATCCTCTTCCAGTTACTTGGACAGATGTCAATCTCTGCATAGGTCAAGAGTCTTTCTAAGTAAACCTGAAAATAAAGAACATTTGCACATTTCCAATGATTCATACTTTCTAGCTTCTCTTAACCAGAACTCTGTTCCAACCTATGGATATAAGGAGCGGGTCTCATACTTTCTATGTAGATGACACAGACAAGGAAAATCTCAAAACTGCATTTTTCAATATGTTTGCCTACATAGGGGAACGGGGCACCATGGCTCCCGTATAATTTCAATTGTACTCTGCAAGTGAGCAGCTCTGTGGCAGATTTGATTTAGCTTTTTGCAGCAGCTTCTTAGGTTGGGAGAGAGGGAAAAGTGTCAGAGAGAGAATGGATACCAACATGCTGCTTAGACTTTCTGTTTCCCACTGCACATCCTTATTCTTTACTCATAATTCCAATATTCCTTATAAGGAAAAGTGACTCAACTGAAATTCTAATCCAGGTGCATCAGAAATTTGATTTTAAACTGGTTAAACAGCACACACAATCAACTTCATTCTAGACAGAAAATTGTGTTTCAATGTTTTTTAAATAAACACTCATTTTAAAGATGCCAGAACTAATTACTTCAGCAGGTGCCACCACCAGGGCCAACTCTCTGTGCTCATTAACTAAAGCAGGACAGACTCTTTTTAATACTTAGGAGACCTTCACAGATCCCAGGGCGGTGATCACATCGGGAAACAGAGGGTGTGAATCTCAACCAGGCTTATAGGAAGAGACTTTCTTGTAGACATTTTTACATTGCTTAAAGTTTTCCCCATTTTCTAAAAGATAATTATTTTTATTTAATTATATAGTTTCTTCTTCCTTAAAATTAAATCTGGAGTTTCAAAGGGTTTAGAACAAATACCAACTAGGCAAGAACATGCTTTTTTTCTCCTTTAGTATGTTTATGAGAAAAACACACACACACACACACAACTGAGAAGCCTGCAACTTCCACAACAAGCCCTTTTATAACAGTAAGGTGTGTTAAGTAGTGTACTTTCTTATTGCCCTTTGCCTGATACCCAATTTTGCTGTTTTGTTGATAAAACACTGCCAACTAGTGGCAGAAACACTTTTAAATATGTGTTTGAGACTATAAAAATTGATTTTTTTTGGTCTGGTTACAACTCTTTTAGAAGAATTCCCATATAGGAGCAGAGACTGCAAATGGATTATGATCCATCAATGCCATAATGAAATAACTTGTCTGTAAGGCCACACAAAACACGGGTGATTTTGTTGTAAGAGACATCATCATTATGCAGAATTTTCCATATGCAGACCCCCAGAATCTAGAACCAAAGATTACACTAAAAGGAACTGTTTCAACACAAAATAACTATACTCTAAACCAGGGGTGTCCAACCTTGGCAACTTTAAGACTTGTGGACTTCAACTCCCAGAATTCCTCAGCCAGCTTTGCTGGCTGAGGA